CGTTTTTTATTTAATAGATTCCTTTGGATATTTATCGCATATATTACCATCTTCGGGATTTTTTTCGAATTTAGAAAGTAAAACGGCACTTTCACATTTGTCAAATTTACGTGGATTTGTTAAAGCGGAAGAGGGTAGTAGAGGTGGATGGTGGTTACCTTTATGGAATCAAGATGTTGATGATTTAGAAGGTTCGCTGGGATCTCCTTTTCATAGTAATAATGGTGATGGCGAAGGTGGTCATGATAATCACGAAAACAGTCGTGATAGTGATCGTGTTGTCGGTGAAGGAGGTGAAAACACTTCAAAAAGTACACCGTAAGCAACTCTTTTTTTTACCTTAAGGAAAGTTTTAATGCTTTACGAAAAAGATATCTTGATTAATCAATTATTTATTCGCTCCCTTATAAAGGCAAAATGCACGATCGGCATCTCCAGAAATATCAACACCTGTATTTGTTGTGCCATCTTCAAATGAATCAAGTAGGCCTAATTCCCCTCAGCAATCCGCAACTACTCCATTAACTAATAATCAGAATTCTGAAGACCCTCTTAAAACCACAGTATCAAATAATAACATCGATCCTCTTCTACATCAAGATACTTTTAAAGATGTAAATCTAGTAAATGATTAATGATTACAAATTTTCTTTTTTTTTTTCTTTAAAAAAAAGTGTAACAATTTATATTTATTGTTATTTTTGTAAATATATTATTTGAATTATCATTATAGTAATAAAGAAAAGTATTTTACAATAGACTTTTTATATATGTGTATAAATATTAGTAAAAAAAAAAAACAAAGTGAATTTATTGAACTTATTTCTTTAAAAAAAAAAAAAAAAATATCAAAAAGATGTCAAGTTATGATGGTGGTGGCTTAATTATTTTTACACCGGGTATTGCAGTTGGATTAAAAGTCCTTTGACAATCTGCATAAGCAACACCAATACCAAAGCCTGTTGACATCGCAATCGGCCAAGATTTTTCTAAATAAAAAAAAGAAGAGTTTTTTAATAAAGTTAAATTGAAAAAGAATTTCAATTGAATTAAGTGAAAAAAGAAAAGAATTATAAAAGACGCGTACTTTTAAATATTAAAGCGGAAGCTACAATTCCTACGCTCAGTCCAATTCCGGATTTTACTAATAAGTTAGACAAGCAAAGATCCCACTTAATAAACGTAAATGAATAAGTTAAATAAATAATCTTTTTTTATTATTATTAAATTACCAAAAGATTATTTATTTTTAAAACCTTTTCACCTTTTTATTTAAAATGTCTTCACTTGATGTTTTCTTTTCTTCGTTAGTCATTATTTACTTTGAGGAGGAAAAAAAAAAAAAAAAATTTTTTTTTTTTTCTGATTCACGTTTAATAGGAATTATATAATGTAGTAACACGGCATTCAGGCTCACGTGCCTTTCATAAATTTGGAAAATTCCTCGGAAATTTTTTTTTTACGCGTTTCCTACATAATTCTTTAATCGAGTACAATTTTACGTTTTACTTAAACTTGTTTTATTAATCGTCAAATCAAAGGAATCACAATGCAACGAGCCTCTACCTCTTATAGTACCAGTTCAAAACCCACCACTTCACGTAAGAAGAAACAAAAGATAAATTCTGGCTTAACAATAGAACAACAAGAAGAAATACGTGAAGCTTTTGATTTATTTGACACGGAAGGTAAAGGTATTATAGACATAAAAGAACTTAAAGTAGCAATAAGAGCTCTTGGGTTTGACCCTCCTAAAAAAGCGGAATTAAAAAGTATGGTATCGAACATTAAAAATCAATCTTCTGAAAGTGGAGATAATACTATTGACTTTGATAATTTTAATAAAATGATGACAGATAAAATGGTATTTACCATATCTCTATTTGATATTATCATTTCATTTTATTGTAATTAACATAAATTTATTTAGTCTGAAAGAAATTTAAATGATGAAATTATAAAAGTATTTCAATCATTTGATGATGATCATACTGGAAAAATTTCTTTTAAAAATCTTAAACGTGTTGCTAAGGAATTGGGGGAAGAAATAAGCGATGATCATTTAAGAGAAATGATTGAAGAAGCTGATCTTAATGGTGATGGTGAAGTTGATGAAGATGAATTCATGAAATTGATAAAAAAAACAAATTTACATATTTAAATAAAAGAAACACATTACTTTTTTAATCCCATTATTATTTTTACAATTAATATAAATTTTTTGGTAAAATTTTAATCTAATAAATCGGTTAATATGACGCAAATTCAAATTATAAATTGTTATAGTCCATAAATTATGTAAATGTATATTAATATCACAAATCGTATTTTTTTTTTTAAGAATTTTTTTTTACATATATTTTTGAAATAATAGGAAAAAATTCAATGAAATTTTCAAAAAAAATTTAAAAAATAAAATACTAGAATACCTACGTTATACTACTAAATTATTATTTTACTTTTTTCTATATTACCACAACCAGCTTCTATTACGAGAATTGTGGGTTGATTGCTCTTCTTCCATCCTGTCTTCGTTTTCATCAATATTATTATCCGAATCTTCTGGTGCTTCTTCATTCAACGAGGCCGGGTTTGATCGGCTTTGACCACTATTAAACCAGCCTCCAAATAATTTCGACAACATATTGTTACTGGGCGTTTGAGGTGCAGAAGCTGGTGTTGTTGTACCAGACCCCGAAGGAGTATTTTCCTCCACACGAGAACGTTTGGGGACTTTGCCTTCAATCTCATCGTCTTGCATTTTTTCTTTCTTTTTTTTTTTTTAAAAAAAAAAATTTACTATGTTTTATTTTATTTGTAAATAATTATTAAGTAAACAACTTACCCCTGGGACAGCGTTGGTTATACTTGATTCACGCCGTTTACGTTTGTTTCCGGCAATGTTATCCCGGAGATTGGAATAAGTTTTATTATAAAGAATAACACTGTTTTCAATATTACTACTTCGTTGATCGCTCGAAGGTTCGTTATTTCTTTCATGGTCTGCAGTTTCTAATGAAATTATGCGCAAACGTAAATCTTCCCTAGACAATATCATCATGTTTTAGAATTGATTACGTGTATAAATAATTAACATTAATTTACTTATTTACTCACTCTCCAAATGTTCTATTATTAATGTCAGCCTCAAAAAATTTTTCAATAACTTTACTGTATACATCTTTATTTCTATTAACATCTTTACCAGAACTTAAATATTCACTCTTGGTTTCTTCATAAAATACTTTCAGATGATGCCAATGATCCCTTGACCATTCCAATGAACTAGGAATAGCAGTAGGAGGCTTTGTCAATTTTGCTTGTAATTCTGGTGGAGGTGTATTAGAAGGTGAACGGGTTGCAGGAACATGTGGTTTTACGAATACAGGCGTACAAGGTCCTTTATTTGGGAAGGCACTCTCGGGAGAACTTAAAATATCATAATTTTGTCCTGCTAACGTATTAACAACATTTGCAAGAGCCGTCGGATTTATTGAGGATATTTCGACAATATCTGGGTCGGAAGCTGGGACTGGAGGTTGTTCGGTGGTAGTATTGTCAACAACACGAGTTTGGCCTTTACGATTAGCACTTCTTGTGGCCTTTTTTGGTTTCGTTGTAGGGATAGTCTCCTCCTCTTTATCTGATGGCTCAATGTTTACTTCATTATCTCTTGCTGCATTATCATCGGCCTGTGTATCAACTTTTCTTCCACGACTTTGTTTGCCACCACTAGTAGATTTTGTAGATTTAGACCCACCAACTAGCCTCCTAGTACTTTTTCGGGTTCTCTTTGGAAGTTTAGGTGTTGAAACTGATTCCTCCACCTGCTCTGGTTCATCTTGAGTAGCATTATTCATTTCAACATCAGATTGTTCTCGTACAACCTGATTTTCTGAATTATGATTCACAATGTCTGTGCTAATTTCAACTCCTGGAACCTCCGTTGGATTAACGATCTCGATTTTAGATGGTTCTTTTCCGGAAGAATCTTTAAATTCAGTGTCATGGTTCTTTGTCCTAGAGCCGCGAGTAGAACCGCCTTTACCTTTACCTCTTCCTCGACCTCTAATACTCTTCGTAGTAGACCTTTTGCTTGAGGTTCTAGAGGTTTTTGGTGTCACCTTTTTACTTGAAGAATTTTTTGTAGTTCTGGCTTCAAGTGTTGTATCAACGGTTTTAATACTCCTAGTTGTCACCTTCCTTGGAGTAGTAGGTTCCTTTAAAGCTGAAAGAGTTTTAGCCGGGACACCCACTCCCAATTCACTATTATCTTCCAACCCTGACTCATTTTCAGCTTCATTCGATGATTGCAATTCAGAATCTTGATTCGTCTTACGAGTGATTAACTTGCGACGAGTTGTTTTACGTTTTGGCGTTGCCTTTGTAGGTTTCTTCGGAATTACCTTTGAAGTAGATTTTTTTGCTGATCGTTTAGCTCTCGCAGTTTTTTTGGAAGGGGCTGTAACAGGTCCCTCTTCTGTTTCTTTAGATACACCTTCTGGTAATTTAAGCAGAATTTTTCGAGAACGAAGATTATGTTTAAGGTATAAATTGCTTTGCGATTCATTATCGATAATAATTTTATCAATATTCCCACTATCATCTTTACCCTGACCACTATGAGCAACTTTTTTCATTTCCTGACCATCACTAATTTGGACAGGAGATAGCTCATGTACAGGTGGATTAGTCACCTCGTTCTTTTCATTATCAACATTAACAACCTCCAAGTCATAGGCTTCATTTTCAGTAGCAGATAATGATGACACTTTATTAAGTGTACGACTTCGTTTACGTGTTTTAGATCTTTTGCCACTGTAAGAATAACGAGGATAACTATAATTGGCCTTGGTTCTATAAATTAATTAGCCAGTTAACATTCTTATGTTCTTTACAAATAATAATAAAAAAGAAAAACAAAAAAAAATTCCAAGACCTTCTACGCATACTACGCCTTATTCTAGGAGTAACTGGAGTAGTAGAAGTAGTAGATTGCTCGATTTCTTCATCACTTCCAGGTTCTACCTTTACAAATCCTATATTAGAAAGCTTGGATGCCAAATTGTTGTAATGTTCACTTTGCCTAAGTAATGAATTACTAATCTACATTGTTCGAGTAAATAACAACAAATAAAATAAATAAAAAGCACAATTATATATTAAAATTAGTCTTACTTAGAAATCGTCATATTCTATTAGATTTATCAAATACCTCATTCTCTATAATTACAGAATACTCCCGATCGCACTCGAGTTCTGATAGATCTGGCTGAGATACTTCGTGAGGTTGTGTAGAAGACTTATCACCCTCTTGTTCTAAATATTCTATATTTTTCATTTCATCAACTTCGTGACTCTTTACACTTTCAAGTATCATATTCGATGTCGTTATTAAATCTCTAAGTTCACCACTAATATCATGATTTTCTGCATCTGTAATTGGTGTCGAAAATTCTTGTTCCGTTATAGAATTACCAAGATTTTGCGCCTTATTTTCTTCAACTTTAGAAGTAGTTTTTCGACCCATGTGATCTGATTGAGTTTGTTGCAATAAAATCGAATCAGTAATTTCGCTTAAAATAGGATCACTTAAACCTTCTAAAGATAAAGCTATTGAGCTTTCATTTATTAGCTCACAATTATTTAAACTGGTTCGAGATTCCAAAGAAAGTGAATCAGTCTGTGAATCAGGTTTTTGCGGTGTTTGATTACTTGGACTTCGAGGTATAGGCGGTGAGTTTAGATCAATACGGATATAATTAGAAGTTGTATGTTCAACCTCTGGTGAGGAACCTCTGTAAAGAACACTTTCGGGTGTATGTGAAGTTAATTCGATCGACTCTTGAATTGTTGGAATCGTAGGCGAAATATCTAGCGTAGAATATTCAGAATAAATACTTTGAGGAACGTCAGATAGAAAAGAATCCTGAGTAGGTACAGATTGAACGGTGTTTGTTTGCGAATTTGGAAGGGTGTTTGTTTGTTCTGATTGAGAGTTACTTGGTTGTTGAGTATTTTGTAACCAACCCGTATTACTCTGCATATAAGGAGAATAAGTCGATGCTCGAGGCATTATAAACCTTATGAGTATTGTGTACTTTTTTCTTAATTAAATAGGAGACAATACACGTTCTTTTGATTTCCAAATGTGAGTAATTATTTTTAAACAAAAAAATTTTGTTTGATATATGCCGTCAATCTTATTCAATTTCTGTGGCGCGGCTATTATGACAAGAAAATGATTTTACCGGGAAGAGTACCAAAAAATATTATTATATAATAATTAGAACGTCATTAAAAAAAAGATTGATAGTTATTTTTATTTCTTTTTAATACCATTTTTTATTATATTAATTATAAAAGTATGGTTTAATTATTGGTGAATAATTTTAAATTTTAAAAATTTTCAAATTTTATATTTATAAATTTATATTATTATTAATCTTTAAAAAATATTTAATATTTAAAAATTAGTAAAAAAATATAATTTGAATAATATATAATTTATTTTTATTTAATGAAAAGATTATTACCTAATTTATGATTAGATAAATACTCAAAAACTTTATTCATTTGAAAGAGTCTTAATTAAATAAACAAATAGTATTGCTTTTATGCTTAAAATAGCTTTGATAATTGCATCATTCTTATGTAGCTTGCATTTAATTTTAGCATAATCTTCAATTTATATATAAGTTGCAATCTCATAAAACTTATAAGATTTGTTAATTGGTAATACATAATATTCAAAAGTTTCATAAGTAAGTGTTAAACCAAATCAAAATATAGAGATAGTTGTATTTGTCTTAAGCGTTATATTGTAAACAGATATTGATTTTCTAAGCTTTATATTTTAGATATAATTAGATCAAAAACATATTATATAATTTTTGATAAAATCATTAGTATTGTTATCTTAATAATTTAAAGATGATAAACATCATTTTTCTTTTGATTCTTTATTATTAACCTCAAATAAATAAACCAATTCTTAAATAAATGTTTAGAATTTCATGATATATTAATAAAATTAATATTAGGTTATAAATTTTGAGAATCAAATTCACTATCTGTTAAATGTCAAATAGATTATAAAGTCATATTCCTTTAACTATTTTCCTACAAATTTGTAGGCAATTTTATTTATTAATTATAATCATTTTTTAATTATTTTAAAATATTTTAAAATATATTATTAAAAAATTAATATATTTATAATAAATTTTATGATGTTTTAAGTAAAAATTAAAAAAAAATGTAATTAATTAGTGATTTTTTAATAATAAATTATATAAAAAAAATTAAAATTTTAAACTCATATATCTTGCTATCTATCAATCTTAGAAATATGGAAATACTACCATTTAATAGACTTTAATATGATAAATCCAATAAACTAATTTTATATTTTTGTAATTATTAAATAATAAATTATTTTTTAAAATTAAAAAATTAAAAATTAATATATATTGATAATTATAAATTTTAAAAGTTTAAAAATATTATGATAAATTTAAAATTTTTATTTTTTTATAATTATTAAATATCAAAATATTTTAAGTTTTTTAAAATGTTTTACAAACAGTTTTATACTTACAGTTTAAGAGATAATATTTTAACAAGTCTAATTCAGTATTCTTATGATTGATATGTAATATATTATCTTCTTTATTTTAATTTCAATATTTATAAGAATACTGAAAGATTTTATATGTTGTGATAGGTGATATCTAGCATAAAAATTAAGAAGATTTATAAATTTTAGGAATAACTATATTTAATATAATACAATTAGTAAAATAATATTAAATTTTAAAACAATAAAAAATATATTACTTAAGTTAAAATTTGTCATTTCTTTTTCAAATATTTTAAGATTTTCATAGTCTTTATCTCTGATGAATTGCTATCAAATTCCATCACTTCAGTTAACACTTTATGTATAAAAGCTAACAATCTTTCTTTTTTACTCATATTTTTCCAACTGAGTTGTTCAAGCTGTTCGATAATATTATTTTGACACTCTGAACATTGTTCTTTGCAGACTGAAGATGCATTGCAACAACTAATGTGATAAGTATGATTACATTAGAATATCGCATGTGAATTTATAATTTTTCTTTTGTAAGCCAAACAAGGTTCAGCTCTCTGGAAAGGTTTAGAGAAAGATGAGGAGTCACTCTATGATCCAAACTTATTAGAAATAATACAGTCAATTTCTAGGATGTTATTAAAGTGAAAAAAAATCTATGATAGCCTATTTATAATTATAGTACTATAGTAAGGGTTAAATTGATAAGCTGGGTAAGAAAATATGATAGCATACCGTATCATATGATAATTGTGAAGATTCTTCTCACTTGCAACTAATAGAAGTAGGATCTATAGCTAATAATGTAATATATAAAATTATGATCTACTGTGTTATATGCAATATAAGTGATTAGCAAAAAATTAATTTTCTCTTTTTTATTTGTGATCAGTTATTATTATGGGAGTTTTAACTCATAATACATGTTATGTCATATGATATCTATGAAGACTCTTCTCACTTCTAACCAATAGAAGTATGGGATCTACCAGCTAATTATCAATGATGTTTAGCACAATATATATTGCGCTTTTAGTATTAAAGAAGAATATGAAAGTATGTAAGAAAGTTTCTTGGCATAATTATTAGATTATTAAAGAATAAGGCATATGTGAATGATAAGCCAGATAAGAAAAGGATTAGGATAGAGGGTTATCATTCAAAAAAATAATTGTGTATTATAGTCTGCATAAAATGAGCTTACATTCTGAACTATTATATTGTATTTATTTTTTGCATGTATCAATAAAATTTTTTATGCACAATAATTGAGTCTTCATATTTACCACATGACATCAGGTAAACTTGGCTTAACATCATGTTTAATGATGTCTCTTGTTAATTGTAAACAAAATATAGTGTCTGATTTTTTAATATTCACCAAAAAATCAAGTTCTGACATCTAAAAGAATCTCCAGACAAATGTAAATTTTAAAGTTAGATCATATGAATAAATTACCTAAAATGTGCAATACTATGTAAGCTTTCTTTATTTACATTGTTAGAGCAAAGATAGTTCGCAAACTACTTTAAGAATCATAAAATCTCTGCTACTGATTTAATAACTAATTTATATTTCTAATGACTATCTATATTAAGCTCTTTTTTAATTTTATTAGTTTTATTCTTTCGCATTTAAGTTTTACTTCACGTTCTTCAATTGATAACTGACGTTCCCTTAATGTCAATTTTTGATCTTTATCTTACATAAAATCAGTTAGTTCTTCCAATATTCCTTGATTTTCATTTTACGTAAAATCAGTTACAGCTTCAAATTTTTTCAATTTAGGTAATTCTGGCTCTTCAATTTCTAATTGGTGTTTCTTTAATGATAATTTTTGATCTTTATCTTACGTAGAATCAATTTCTGACTGACATTTCTTTAAAAATAGTTTTTGGTCTTTATTTTGCACTAAACTACCAGCTTTTTCAGATTTATTTTGTAATATTTGTGCCAACAATTTAGCTAGATAGTTTAACCAAAGAAATTATTTTTTATTAGTTAAATAAAGATTAATAATAAAACCTTATAT